ATACCCGCATGTGCGTTATCCTCGCATAACTAGGGCTGGAATGATACAGCTTGCGTGGTCATAGTGCTTTATGCTTACAATGTTAGCCGGGTTTGTCGCTACATCGTGTGATTACGTCATTGGATCGATTTTACTTATTGGCTTAAATTTTTATACTCGATCCATTAGATGTTTCTACGCTGTAGAGACAAACCAGCAGGTTCCCCATAAATTGATAGATATTGATCACTTTATAGATTGCTCAAGAAGTGGCGAAAAATGCGCGCAAACTCGAATTTGTCGGGTTAGGCTTGTCCTTAGTGAGCCTTATTGTGTCCATCGCAATATTCTCCTACTTTCGGTGGGTTTACTAATTCATCAGTCACTGGCATAAGCAGAAACGTCTTTTCCAGGCGGTTGCGGGTCTTTCGCAACATGCTACATTTACATCTTATGATTGCTATTCTTATGGTAGTAATCATTCGACTTGTACTGTACATTGATCTTATATTTACCGGAAATCAAAGTCCTCATCAAAGTCCATCCGATGGGAAAACGATCAATACAATGGTGAGTTTTATAAGAGTTGTTGCGACTAATGAAGGACTTACCACCTAGTTTTTTTCAGCCATTCGTCTGTGAGGCAATGTATTTTCTGTTGGAGTACTTCAAGACCGTGGCATTTGGGTGGATGTTCTTAGAGGGATTCTATCTACATAATCAGTTGGTGCTTACCGTCTTCAACTCTGAACCTCGGCTAGCACCATATTTGATAGCTGGATACGGTAACTTCTGTTATCAGTCGTCCTTTAAATACTTACTGAAATGAGCGTTAATTTTAGGTATACCTGGACTTCATACGCTCATATGGCTCTTCGTTATGTTGATAAAGAAAGACTTCAAGGTAATTTGATCCTGAACTGTAATTTACAACGTTAATCACCCATAAGCATGCGTATATAGGTCGAGCGATGTCTGGGCTCGTATTATCTGGAACCTGAATTCTGGATCCTTGATGGGCCACGAATGGCAGAGCTTGTGGTAGGTTGATACGATTACTCGTTTACGATAATCTGAGAGAAACTTTTATAGTTCCATTCGAAGTTTATTTTGGGAAGGGGGGG